GCCAAACAAAAAGAAAAAACAACACAAATTCCTAGGATCCACCTAGACTTAACAAGGATCAGAAAAACCTGAGAGATGTGGTAGAAGGGTCCTCCATGTGCATTTTAATAACATATCAAAAAGTACTGATAATACACTCAGGTCAATAGGACCTTTAAATTAGAAAAGCTACCATGCTACCCTTAGCCCTCTGCTGAGTTCCATTTTCATTATCTACCTGTTCTCATATTCTCCTCCCACTGTGTGTGTGTGTGTGTGTGTGTGTGTGTGTAACGACATTTTAAATGATTGACCTCTAAATGGATCTAAAATGTATCTTCCTTCCTCTGGAGGACAGAAGTTTACCTTTCTTCCTACAAACTTCCCAGTATTCTCATCATACATAAGTAAGTAAGTCAATGTTAATTACAAAAATCTGTGAGGTTGAAATCTTGTCATCAGGCATCCCCTTGCCATGGTTTCTGCAGCCTCTCCGAGTCCTCATCTCTGAAAGGATGGACATATATGAACCATCATGCTGGAGGAACTCAGCCACAGGGAGTCTGCAAGGAGAGCCCCCAATGTGTCCAATGCCAAAGGCCAGCTCTGCCCACTGCACTCCTGACAGCCACCTTCATGCCTTCTGTGGACACAGAAACAGTCCAGAACCACCTGCAGGAGGAAACTTGTGGCAGCATCTCGACATGAGGGACAGGGTTCCTTGATCTATGGAAAAGTTCCACACGAGACTTGGGGAATGTTCACAATGTTCACGCCCAAGCTCAATGACCCACATCAGTGGGCCAGTCTTGGGACAAGATGCAGGGGAACACAGGCAATACCTGACATCAGAATGGACACTAGGTAACCTCTCATGCTGGCTAGAGGCAGGACTTCAGGGATAAAGGAAAAAAATAACCACCGGAGATAAAACTTGTAAAATATGTTATAATGTTTATTTCACTGTAGAAAATCAGCTGTGAATTTTAATACACCTTTGGAGCGTACAACAGCCTGCTGGGAGCAGTATTTATTGAATAAAATTACCAAAAATCACCAAACTAAATGTTTAAGAGAAAGGAATCCAGGTAGATGTGGTAGCATACACCTGTAATCCCAGCACTCTGGGAGGCACTGAGGCAGGAGGATTGCAAATTCAATCTCTGTCTCGGCAATTTAGCAATTTAGCAAGGCACTATCTCAAAATCAAACGTAAAAAAGGGCTGAGTTAAAAGCTCAGCGCAAAGGACCTGAATCGTATCCTCAGTTCTGCAAAGGGGAACAGCCTGGATCCCCCAGCTATGTCCTATACAAGTTCATGCCAGGAGACCGAGGAATGTGCGATGGGAGGCTGAAAGACCTGGGCCAGAAAGTCTAACAGTCGGCACCACACCTAATCCTGGAACATTTGTACCGGGCAGGCTGAAAGCTCCACACTAAGAATCCTTGAGGAGAACCAGGAAACGATGCCCAAGACAAAAGTGAAGACCAGAGCTCCCGGCTACCGTATCCGTGCCCAGGGCCAGTAGACAATACAGGGACGGGGGCTCCTCCCAAGAAAACAACAGCATCCCTGGGGAAGGCCAAGCCCAGGGGGAGAAGGCCACAGCTCCTTAACACACGGTTCCCAGAACCACAAGCTCAGCCAGCGCGCCTCCCTTCTAGGGAACCACACCTGGGACATCAACCCAGCTTCCCTCCACAGCATGTGGACTTCTGTTAATGAAGAATGAAGATTCATAAAGGATGTTCCCCAAATGGCACCAAAGTCACACAATTTGAAGACTTCTTCGCACTGAGTAAGGGTCCCTCACAGCCATTTCCTCTAAGCGGTCTGCATTTCCACCCTTATGTCAACAGCTTTCTCTAAAACGAGTCTCTGGAGAGTCTCCTGTCACCAGCGGCAGCGTCAACAACAGCACAGGCTCCACAAGATGTCATTTCACCAACCGAGCCACAGCTAGCCACACAGCTGGCCCCACGATCCCTCTCCACACATCTGGCCAACAGGGCTCCTGCACTGCTAACCTTCACATGCCATCTCTGCAGACCTCCTCAGACCCAGGCCCAGCACAGGGTCACAGCGAGTACCCAGGGGGCTTGCTGGGCATCACCAGGGGACACCAAGGGATTAGGACAGCCCCTGAGAGAGTTTCCAGGACTGACTGGACACAGTTCACAAGCTACACTCCTTGTTCCCAATAACGGGAGAATTATTCAGTAAACAGTAATAGGGAAAATGCACTATTCTGGGGGGAAAAAATAAGGGCTATTTTATAACACATATGAAGAGAAATCCTCACTTTTACTGTTAGAAATGAGACAAGAAAATAGCTCAATGAAAATGCAAATGGACATTGAGAGGATCCTGGGATTTAAGAGAGCCCAGAATGGGGATGGAGCTCCCGACAGAGAAAGAGTTTAGACCATCTCGGTTCAGTCCCCAGCACCGAGAACAAACAAACAAAAACTGCACCAAAATAAATAGACATGCATAGCATGATGTAATCATTAGAAATAAATGGTGTTCAACAGCAGCTGTCGATATAACACCATGGCAGTTAACATCAAACATGAAAAAGGAATGAAGATTCAAAACTGTTGACAGTTTAATTAAAAACATATGGGGGGGTCCATAAAAATATGTGCTTAAAGTATGAGAGACTGGGTCTGGTGCCACATACCAGTAAACCCTGCACTCAAAAGGCTGAGGCAGGAGAATCACTGCCAGTTCTGGGCAAGCCTGGGCTACAAAGTGAGTTAAAGGCCAGCCTGAACTATGTAGCAAGACCCCGCCTCAAAAAAAAATTCAGGGGGAAGACAAAGAAACAACTAAAATACCAGCAGGAAATAAACTGTCCATGTTCCTCTCCTATGGTTTAAAGCTTCTTGTAGAAACAGAAAACAAAATACTGTGCTTTTAAAACTCCACAAACGTCAACAGTCATCGCGTACGGCCCAAATCCAGTGAAGTTTGAAAAAAAAAGCAGGCACCCAATAAGGTGAAAATTCGGCTTTTCTTTACAAGTTGGGCCTGGTATTCAGGGGTCACTGCCTGGCTGGGTTCATTTTAGCCACCCCACTTACAGGAAAAGGGAGAAAATCACTAAGGGGTCTCCAGCTTTAAAATTCTGTGAACTGAGTCAGGCACGGTGGCACAGGCCTGTAATTCCAGCCACTCTGCAGATTGAAGCAAGAGGGCCAGGAGTTCAAGGCCTAGCTGGGGAACATCCAGTGTCACTCATGTCTCCAAACAAAATTCTAAAGAATGTCTGAGGGTGCAGCTCAGTGTAAGTCCCTGCAGTTCGATCCCTAGTAAGGCAAGAGTAAATAAATACACGATGGCCATCACAGTCCAAGGGGAGGCTGACTTCACAAAGTCATGTCCCTCTTTTAAAACTACAGCACAAGAACAGCAATTCCAACAGGAAAAGCAGCTTAAAACCTTAAGACAGCCTCACGCCCACTCACATCAGCATGGTCCGGAGCACCTATTGAGACACACAAGGTCATGCATGCACTGGAGTCTCCGACTGCACAGAATGTGTCTGCAGAGGTGTCCAAGATTTTGCATCTCTATCAAGTTCCCAGGCAATGCTAAGGCTGACGCAACCCTGCGAGGAGCAGAGCTTCCTAAAAGTGGCTATCAAGGTTTCCCCAGCGCCATCACCAGCAGCCAGCGTTTTCAAACTGCCCCTTGAGAAACGCCAGCCTTCTTTCTCCCTGCTTTCAGAAGAAGCTCCCCAGAAAAAAGCAGCTCAACAGAGCAGCTCAGAACACTGAAACACAACCTGACACTTCCTAGCTCTGTGACTGGAGGCCATTTAAAACTATCTTAACCTAAGTGTCTTCAAGTGTAAAACAGTGGCAATCGTTCCTTCCCCTCCAGCTATGAAATTAATATAGGCTCCACCTGAGGCCTCAAAGAGAGGTCAGCACATTTTCTCATTTCCCTGAATTTACTTTTGGTGGGGGTTTGTTTTGCTTTGTTTTTGAAACAGGGTCTTGCTTTGGATCTCAAGCTGATCTCAAACTCTTGAGATCTTCCTGCCTCAGCCTCCCCAATATTGAAATTACAGGCCAGTGCCACCCTATACCTACGTTTTCCTGGCACTTTCACTTCGAAAATTCACATATGCAAGGTGCATGAAGAGTTCTGTGTCTTACCTAAAGCTAACTGAGAAGTTTATCTACTGTTATTTTTCACGTTAACTACCCCTCACTAAGAGAAGGACCAACGAGCCGCCAGGTCTGACTGCCTAACAATTAAAACAGGCTGGCCTTTAACTCATTATGTACCCCGGGCTGGCCTCGAACTCAAGGTGATCCTCTGGCCTTGACCTCGCCGGCGCTGGTGTACAGTCCTGCGCCACCACGCCCGGCCATAAGGGGTCACTTATGAAAGACTTTTTCACCTGTTTCTTCCCACAAGCTTAAGAGATTCTGGTAGGACCCCTTTCCCCAGTGATCACTCAAGTTGAAAATGAAAATTCCACACGACTGGGCAAAGACTGGACAGACACGCACTCCTACGGGGCTATCCGAGTCCCAGGCAAAAGCACAACGGGGAAGCAGATCTCGCGCCAGATCCTCACTCAGACATGAAAAATAATAAAGGGAGATTTTAGACGCGCGCGCGCACACAGCGGAAGCCGGCGGGGCTGGAAGGAGGTGTCGGGTAAAGAACATCGAGAGGGTGGGGTCACTGTCCGGACATGGCACTGGTTCAGGACGCCCGCGTTACGCTTTGGTTGAGATTAGATGAAGGCGGCGGCTCCGACCTGCTTTCGCAAACTGAAACAAAAAGCCCCGTGCGGTGGGTGCCCGTGAGGGATGCAAACAGGGTGCCGCCTCCCAGCAGCCTCATCCTCTTCCTTCTCCTCCTCGGCCTGGGCGCCCGCCGCCCCGTGCCCGCGTCCCCTTGCGGGGCGCGCGCGGGGCCGCAGGAAGCCGGGTAACGCCGAGGGACGCGTCCCGGCCCCTGGCACCCTGAGCACGCGGCGCCCGGGCGGGACACTCACCAGAAGAACACGCGCGAGCAGAGGTTGGCGTCCTGCAGCGGGTTGGGCTTCAGCTCCTGGTGCACCGGGAGCATCTTGCCAAGCGGGCCGAGGTGCGCAGGCCGGGAGGGAGGCGCGCCGGAGATGCTGTAGGTCGGGCCGCCGCGCCGGTCCGCTCGGCTGGAGCCTGAGGACAGCCGCTTCCGGGCGCCGCGGCACGCCCCGATCCCGCCTCCCGAGCCTCCGGGGGCGCCCGCTTCGCTCAGCCGCCGCCGCCGCCGCTGCCACTTGGAGCCCAGGAGGAGCGCGTCTGAGAGCGGCGCCACTGGAGTGCGGCCGGGGGTCGGGCACGAGGACCACGCGGCGCGCAAGGCACGGCTCCCAGGTGGCCACGTGCTGCGAGCCGGCAGCGAACTTTGCCGAAGTTAAGAGATCAGCGTCTGGGCACCGACCCAAAAAGGTGGCGGGGGTGGTGTCAACTCCGCCCACCCCAGCCGCTGGGAGCCGCCTTCCTGTGAGCCGGCTGTCTGGATACGTGGAGGGAGCTGCCTGTGCCTTTGGGCAGCCAGACCCCTGGGCGCGTGGGTCTCATCGGGATCAAACTGGATGCTGGGGGAGGTTCTCCAACCTGCCGACCGCGCGCTTAATCGCGGACAAGAACAGGGATTAGCACAGAATCTCTCTGTAGAGCCGCAAGACCAGAAGACAGGCGGGGAACAAGAGATGGGGATTCCGATGATTTGGAAACATCGGATTGGGTTTTGGGTATCTGACAGGTTGCACTGTGCGGTGGGCCTCTGTGAATGACTGCCCTGTTAGATTAGGGAAGGGAGGGAGGAGGAACAGAGGCTGCCTGCCGGATCCTAGCAAAATAACAGAAGCCATGAGAACAAACGTTACAGGACCTGGTTATACACGTTCCTGGGCACCTTGCTTGGGTTTTTGTTTTTGTTTTTGTTTTTGTTTTTTTCTCTGTCTTTTGAGACAGGGTCTCGCTATGCGATTCAGGTTGGCTTTGGGTTCACTTTGTAGTCCAGGCTGGTCTCAAATTTGCAATGATCCTCCCACCTCAGCCTCCCGAGTGCTGGGATGACATGAGTGGGCCCCCACGCCCTGCTCCCTTGCTTGGCTTTTTAAACTAATTTTTGTTTTATAGAAGCAGAAACTGAGACCCGCAGACGGCTTGTCCAGGGTCTGAGAATCAGTAAAGATGAAGCCTGGTTTGTACTCAAGTCGGCCTGTGATTAAGGTCCGTTGGGAAGGAAGACATTCATCGTCCATGAAAAGTGTCCAAGGTGCGCTGGTTGAATGAATGAATGAATGAATGAATGGTTCTAAGAAAGAATCAAGGAAAAAAGTCTTGTTCCTAGCTTTTGGATTCCCACTCATAAATCCTGTTATGTGTGCAGGCTGCCTTACCAGCTCAGCTCTAAATGAGAAAAGGTCAGAGGATATGAATTCATGGTGCTCATAGTCACAAGATCGTTTTGTATTGCTTTGAGCATTTCCCTACTACGTTTGCTAAACTTGCTTGGTTAATAGTGACTTTAAAACAAAAAACAAAAAACCTTAGTGTAGCTGGCTGTGGTGACACACACCTATGATCCCAGCACAGGGAAGGCTGAGGCAGTAGGATCACCTCAAGTATGAGGCCAGCCTGGGCCACACAATAAATGCAATGCCAACCTGAATTACAAAGCAAGACCCTGTCTCAAAAAACCAAAATAAATAAATAACTGTTTGCAAACATTTATGTAAAACATAGTTGCTCAGAGCCGGTAGTCAAGGTACTAGTGTGGCATGGGGCTGAGGCCAGAGGATCCCTTGAGCTCAACAGTTCAGGCCAACCTAGGCCACATAGCCAGGCCCTCTCTCTTAAATTATAATAAAGCCAGGGAAGGTAGTGCATATCTGTCATCCCAGCACTCAGAAGGCTGAAGCAGGAGGGTCACCCCAAGTTTAAGACCAGTGTAGACCAGGCTGAACTACATGGCAAGACTTTGTCTCAAAAAAAACTATAATATAAATCAAGGGGTCAAGGATTTAGCTCAGTGATATATGTACCTGCTTGGCAAGCATGAGGTCATGAGTTTGCTCCCTGGTACCAAAAAACAAAACAAAAATCAAGGGCAAAAGAGCTGCAAAATAATTTTTGTGAAGAATTTATTGCACTATTTTGATATGTATGCTTGCAACTTTTGTCACAAAAAGGAAGATACTGTTTATCTGAATATTGTAAGAGAATTATGATCTCTGTAGCCCAGCATGATGGCACACACCTGTAATCCCAGCACTCTGGGAGGATGAGTCAGAAGATCCAAAAGTTCTGGTCCAGTCTGGGCTACTTTGCAATTTAGTGAGACCCTGTCTCAAAAGAAAGGCTGGGGATGTTGCTCAATATGAAAACTTTGAGTTCCTTCTCCAGTGTCATGAAACCTGAAAGAAAGAATCATCCTTTCTTTGTTAGCTGTTTCTCAGATAATGCAATCTGAAAATCAAAAGGGGCAGCCCTCACTTGATTTACAGCACTTTTCGAAACTCCCTAAGTTTTCTTGTCCAATAAATGTTCAGTTACTGGTTCTGCTTGAAAGCTGAAGAATTTGTTTGCTAAAGTTAGAAGTCCAGTGACTCTTTGGAACCCTCGCACTATTCATGCCCACGATTATGTCAGAACCATAATTAGCAGTCTCCAAACTGCCAAAGCACTGAGTCCTTAGTCCCTTCAACTTCCATTGAGGTTGCTTTTTTAAAAAACTAAGCTCTTTTGAGAGTAGTTAACATTCTTTTCTGAACATTAACTAATGTGGGAGTGGGAAGAGATGCTAAGAACCAGTCTCTGACTATGGAGATAAGATTAGATTGAGTCACCAGACTTCCTTGTTACCTAATTGTTCTCTTATTTTTTCAGGTCTATAGAATGAGAATCATAATCTCACTCTTCGTGCTTTTTAAGATTATTGTGAGCCTCACAACTTGTGAATGCATTCTGAAAGCAATGTAAAAATGAAAGTCTCCCCATTTATTTAACACACAATGGGATAGGGTTAGAGCTCAGTGGTAGAGCACTTGCTTAGAATGTCGAAGGCCCTGAGTTTAAGCCCCAGCACTACACACACACACACACACACACACACACACAATCATGCAAAATATGTGTTTAGTAAATGCCTTTTGGATACTTGGTAACTAGGCCAAGAACTAGCTTGTGAAGGTAGAAGAGGGATCTTAAGATAGACCTCTACCTGCCCTTGTTTACTGGCATTAACTAATTCAGTATTGTAACCAAAAAGATGGTGCCTTAGTTACTTTCTCATTTCTGGGACAAAATACCCAAACCCATGAGTTAGAGGAGAAGAGGTTTATTTTGGCTCACAGCTTGTAGAGATGTCAGTCCATAGTCAGCTGGTCTGAGGCAGGATAGCGTGGCAGAAGGGCATGGCAGAGGGAAAACAATCCATGGCATGGCAGGGAGGAATCGGGGAGCCCTCAGGGCAGGAGGAATAAATCTGTATCCAGGCCACACCCACAGTGGTATACCTCCCCCACCCCAGGCTTCATCCCTCAACCTCACATTGAGCTACAAACCCATCTGTGAACCAATTCAGTATCACAGGCCCCTGATTTAGTGTTACACACCCATGACCCATCACCTCCCAAAAGACCCACCTGAGGGTGGGCACATGAGGCTTTCTGGGGATATCTAGATGTAACAGACGATAACAAGTGTCAGAAACTGGAGTGCCCGTGTCACTCAGTAATGGACACTAGTGCTATTTGAGAAAAAGTCTAGCACTTCTTTTTTTTGTTTGTTTTGTTTCATTTTAAGGTTTTTTGGTTTTGTTTTAGATAGAGTCTCTATGTAGTTCAGGTTGGCTTGAATTTACAGTGTAACCCAGACTGGCCTCAAACTGTGACAATCCTCTTGCCTCACCCTCCCAGTGCAAGTCTGGCAATTCTTTGAAAAGTTCAAAGAATGACTCAGCAGTTCCACTCATAGGGTTGTACCCAAGGGAAAGGAACATGAAGTGTCCACATAAGAACTTCCACACAAATATCATAGCATGATTCATAAAATCAAACAGAAAAAACAACTGTCCATCAACTAATGAAGGAATAATAAAATATGGTATTTTAATACAATAGAATATTACTGGTATTTCATAAAATAAATGAAATATGATGTTATGACATAGATAAATGTTGACAGTGTCATACCAAGTATGTTGCTCAGATTTCCATCACTGTGACAAAATGCAATATCTTAATACAAAACAATAAGGAAGACTGGTTTATTTTGGCTTACAATTTCAGAAGTTTCAGTCCTTGGTCACTGTTACTTTGGGCCCAAAGTGGTAAAGTACACATGGTAGTGGGGGCATGGGATAGCAGTAGACTCTTAAACTCAGTTTCCTGGAAGCAGGATCAGTCCCAATATTCCCTCAAGGCTATGCCTCCCCTCAATGATCTAACCTCCTCCCACAAAGTCCCACCTCCTAAAAGTTTCAGCACCTATCAATAGCACCATGGTCTGGCAACAAAGCCTTTAGTGCATGGGCCTTTGGGTAGACAGTTAAGATTCAAATGGTAGCATTAAGTAAGTGAAGCCAGCCACAAAATACCATGTGACATATGGATTCCATTTATATAAAATGTCCACAATAGACAGATCTATAGAGGTAAAAAGGTGATTCATGTTTGCCTAGAGGAAGAATTGGGGAGAATGAAAAGTGACTGCTAGCAAGTACAAGGTTTCTTTGGGAGGTAACAGGATATGGATGTGTGGTACTGGACTGGCCCACTGATGGTTTATAGTGAGGTGTAATATTGGGAGGTAAAGCGTGGTGGGGAGAAGTGAGTGACTGTGGGTCCTGTAGATCCCTGTGAGTCCTGTGATCCCTGTGGACTGTGGGTCCCCCATGAGTCACTGTGAGCAAGGCGCAGAACAGTGTATCTCTTCCTCCTCCTCCCTTCATCCCATCCTGCTTCCCATCGGCCATGCTATAAGCCAGCCTCCTCCACCAGGCCACCCTATCTTGGAACCAGCCAACTAGGTTCTGAAACCTCTACAAATTGTGAGCCAAAATAAATCTTTCCTTCTTTAAACTGTGGTATCAGGTATTGTTATCCCAGTGACAAGAATAACTATGACAGAGACTTAAAGAAGATGTCAGCTGTTTTATTCATGAAAAGTAGGACAGAGGTTGACTGTATTATGAGGGTTAATATTTGATCCCTAAAATAAACTTCAACCAGCCATTCACTGGCAGAAGTTGATTGCCTTAGTCGCTCAGAAGGAAGGAGCCTGGTATAGACAGCAAGTCAGATATACCATCTCTGCAAACAGGCAGCTTTACAATAGAAGAGGTACATTAATTCATAGTTCCCTCTTCTAGACTCCCAGGAGGAACAGGGAGGGTCAGTAAGAAAGA